CTGACCTTGGACAGCATCACATTTTGGTGACCAGTTACACATTGAGATGTAACCTTTAACATGGGCCGGTTCAGCAAGACTGTCCAAAATGGAAGAGCGGTAGTGGAGGAATAAAGCTAGCATTTCAAAAAACAAACCCCCCCCCCAAAAAAAAAAAAAAACCTAGCATTTCGATGAAGCAGAGAATGCTTATTTTTCCATTGGGGTAGGGAGTGGGAGGCGAGGGAACAAAACGCCTGATGCGTATTAAAATTTTATGTAAGCCTTTAGTTACGAGTCTTACGAAATGAGGTAATTGCAGATTTGTTTAATAAGCAGCCAACAGGTTTTGTTGCCTCAGCCCCCTTAGGCGGCTTCAATTTGAGCACATCTGTGTCCACGTATGTCGCAGTTCTGGATTTCATAGCATCTGTGGCCACCACCCCGGAGCTTTAAAACGATCGCCACGTTGGCTGTGTGCTTCCCGCGGCTCTGTCTGTTTGCTGCGTGCACAGGCCGCACCCGGCAGCCACAAAGGGATGCGGCCGGCCGGCCTGCCCCCGGTGTGGGGGGACCTGCAGGAGCATCCCGCCTCCTACACCTTGTCCCTGATGGGGAAGAGCGTGGAGGGACAACTGTGACATCTTTTCTGATTTAAATGTGTGCTTTCAGAGACTAAATCGCCTTCTATGAGTGGGTAAGAAGCACAGCATTTGTTGAATACAAAACGGTGATCTGAACTCACAATTTAAAAAACTTGTTTTTTTAAAAAAGTCCCGTTTTGCCAGCCCATTTTACAGGTTTCTAGGCAACTACTCTGCCATGGCTAAAGGGGCTTCCAAAAGTTCGTGGGGAAGTGGAATGAAAAGATAATGGGATTTTGCCACACACTTCTGAAGCCTCTAGTACTTGAGAGTAATGAGGGGCCAGCACGAAATGAGGAGATGCAGGGGGCACCTTATGGACCCCATCTAGACAGGAAGTCCAGGCTCTTTCTCCTCCCTCTCCTTAAAAGATGGCTGGAGCCCACTTAGAACAAACAGCCACTGTTTTTCCTCCGCTGGTGAAACGGGACCCAGTCAGAGAAGGAGGGGCGTCTGGAGGCCCCCGGAGGATGGGGTGTCAGTGCCTGCAGACTGTGCTTTGTGAGTGCTGATCCCGAAGGTCCCTGTGTGCGCAGAGCACACAGGCGATAGAAACACTGCTCGGTAAGTAGCAAGAGTCTCTTTGTTCCAAGGCTCGCTCAACGCCCTCATGATCGACTTTGTTTGAAGTCTGTGGAAGGAAACCTGTGTTCTGTGGTACTTTTTTCTTTTTGGCGGAGAGAAGCAGTCATGGACTTCAGTGTCCACACAAAAGCGAGGGAGCTGTGGGAGAGCAGGAGGAGGCCTGGTGGAGAAGTGGCTACACATGGGGCTGTTCACCAAAGGGTCAGTGGTTCAAACCCGGCAGCCGCTCCGTGGGAAAAAGATAAGACGTCTGAGCCCCATAGTTACGGTCTTGGAAACACCTAGAGGGTCAGCTCCACCCTGCCCTATACGGTCGCTCTGAGTCAGCATCAACTCGACAGCAGTGAGTTTGGTTTGTTTTTTGAAAATTGAGAGCAGCTGGGGGGGAAGTTATCAAGCTCTGGCAAAGCAGTAAATGTCCATATATGCTTGATAAAATACAATACCCTCACCCCCACCCCCACCCCCAAAAAACAAGCAGCACTTTAGTTTTAGGGATAGGAATTCGGTTACGGAGGGAAGCAGTAGGATCTCCCCACCCACACTTAGCTCCACCCTTTGCCAGCCTGTCTGATTCCAGCACACATCGTGGCTTTAAAAGGAGCCCGGGTGGTCTAGTGGTTGCACACTGAGCTGCTCATCACAGGCCATCTATTCAAACCCACCAGCTACCAAGGGGGAGAGATGAGAAGCCCACATGCGCAGTTCTGCTCTGCCCTATTGCATCACTAGGACTTGGCATTGCTCTATGGCAGTGGGCTGTAACTTATGCTAGACAGACCACCACCAGCGGGCTGTTTGGTTTTCTCGAAGGCCGAATGGGTGGGTGGGATTAAAAGTTCCCAAGCGGTCTCAAACAAAAAGTGTCACACACTATCCATAGCTGTCACTTGGTGGTTGGGATTATTTTAATGTGGAAAATCTGGATTTGCCCAAGTGATGTGTTTTCCCGCCCACCTCACGCCCATATTGTGCAGACTCTCAGTGACCCTTCTGACCCAATGGGGGGTCGGTGACAGGGCAGCTGAGGAGCAGGAAAGAAAGGTCACTTCCCAGTCTTGTATCCTAGTGTCCTGACATGACAAGATTAGTTCCACTTTCTAGGACCCAACCAAATCTGACCGTCAAGCATAAAAGTAAGATACAGCGAGGTCTTAATCAACATATTTCCTCAAAAGCTCAGCCCAGCCCAAAGACCCCAGGGAGAAATACACTCAGCCCTAGTCACTGGGGTGGTATAATGGTCCTGACAAATCGTGTTAACAGGCACTTTCAACCCAAAGAAAAGAGTGGAGGCGGTGGCTTATATTGCAATGCTTAGAAGAGGAGGCCTCCGTTTTGAACGCGGGCTATTATCTCCTCATTGGAGGCCCATTCCCAAGTCCCTAGCATCTAGCTAGTCCTAGCTCTTTCCTTGGAAGTGGCGAAGTCAGCACAGCCCACAACCCATCTTTACTCAGGTGCTCAGCTCACAAGGCATTTTTAGTCTAAACCCAATATTATCAACATCCAGCTTTCAAAAGTGGTGTGTGTTTTAAATGGTTAAATCCATTTATCTCAAAAACAGCTGCATTTGCGATTTCTGAGACCATTTACTGATCAAAAAGTCTGTGGGGGAAATCCCATTAACATTGAATTCCATTTTCCGAGAAACTTTTCGAAGTCCCCTGTTTAAGTTCACCTCACAGTGAAGGCAGATGGAGACGGGGTCAAAATCAAATGTGCCCATTCTGTGATGTGCCAGCACATGCGCTGTTAGTGTCAAGGCTGAGACCACAGTTCCAGTTGAGAGGTTTCTTTAGCTGCGAGGAGTCTAGGAATGCTTGCCCCTGCCCCTGCCCGCCCCACCCCCAAACCCTGTTAGAGGAAATGAAATCTGCTTTTAAAATGTTCCTCTGCTAAGCAAAACCTTTCAACACAGTTGCTCTTAATGGCAGAGATAAACAAGTTTCTGCCGCCGTTTAAAAACCTTGGCTTGGAAAAGGAGGTGTCCTTGCTACACTTGTTTTAAAATGTCATTTTGTTGTTTGTTTGAAAGGTCTCTTTACTGGGCCACTCCGAGAAAGGCCACACGGCCACTTTCTCGGAAGGTCACCGAGCCCACAGGGGACCCTCTGTGCACACCCTGCCGCTGGGCCTGTGGGGGCCTCCGGCCTGGAAGAGAGTCCACTTTCCCCAAAGAGATTCAGCAGCTACTTGCGCATGGCGCAGGCCCAGGCGCACCAGGTGAGGGCGGCATCTGTTTTTCGGGCTAACGCTTGCTCTCTAAAAACAAACAAGCAAACGCCCTGCCCAGGGGTCCACAGACGGCCAGGGTCAAATCAGTCCACCTACAGCTCCAGAGCCGAGGTCTCTGCCTGTGTCCTCTGCACGGCCTTGGCTGCACAAGTGCTGTGCCCAGGGAGGGATTTTGCGGGGATGAGGGGTTGTCTCTGCAGGGACCCAGGCCCAGAGGCCTCAGGGGGCGGCGGGCTGGTCGCTGGCACCCAGCAGCAGCTTGACCCCATGCTTGTCCAGGCTGGAGTTGATGCTCTCGGCATCCTTGGCCTGCTCAGGGACGCAGGTGCAGCCCACAGCCACGGCCACGTAGTCCTCGGCGTACAGGTAGCGGCCACCGGCACAGGTGGCCGTGCGGCGCAGGACCACGGTGGGCATGCGCACGGGCGTGCTGCGGAAGCGCAGGTCCTCCTCGCCAAAGGGCCCGGTCAGGCAGCCCCGGCACAGGCAGTAGGCTTCAGGCAGGTACTTGGGGAACCTGGTGGGGTCGTAGGAGATCCTGCACAGGGAGAGAACAGAGCTCAGAGCGGGCCGGGGGACCTGGAGCACAGGGAGTGAGCGGGTGCTCAGGTCTCCGTGTGCTGATGCTTCTCCACAGGCCAAGCCAACCAGGAAACCTGAAAGAGTTGGAGCGGTCATTTCCTTGGGCCATTCCCGCCCCCCCACCCCCCCTGCACCACGCCCTTAAAAACCGACATTCCATATCTTCCACAAACAATTGACTTTTACATCGTCTACGTGGACACAAACATGGGTCCATCCACACCTGATGGTCTAACACCGGGCACCATCCATCAATGTCCCAGGGGCCCCAAATGAGCCTCGCCTCTGGCCCTCACCCATCAGCAGACACAAGAAGAGCCGGCCAGGCTCCCCAACAGGGGACACGCCTGGGCAGGGACCCCACCAGGCAACCTTGTGGATCGGGTGAGGGGAGGTGGCATTGTGTGGGCTCTCTGACCACCTGGTGGGCTGACCCAGAGGCACCAGCTGAGTCACACCCACGCAGAGGGCAGCTGCTCAGCACCTGTCCCAGAGCCAGCAGGCCAGCCGGTGTCAGTCTGTCTGTAGGGTCTGCGGCTACGCTGGGCCCTGCAGGGCTGGCCAGCGGGAATCTTTTAGAAGTGACGGAGGGCTTAGACGTGGAGCATTCTCCTCCTCTTCCAAGTCTCCCTCTTCTGGTCAGAGGCCAGGAACCCAGTGTCAGCATCTACAAGACAGCTGGCAGCCCCAGGCCAAGACTCTCAAGTTGGTCCAGAACAGATGGCTCCCTGGGAACCAGAGCCACCTGGGGGTGGGGCTCTGCCCTCTAACCCTGCCCCCACCCACCCCAAACATGAGCCCAGGAGGGCCACCTGCCCTGCTACCCTGGGCACCCAGGGGTGGGTGAAGAGACTGTCCTAAGGGCCCCTTGCTGAGTGAAGGGTCTTCTCGCTCCACATGGACGGCCATGGTCCCGTGGCCCCATTTCTAGTCAGCTGTGAACCACCTTCTGAATCTGCGGCACTTTCTTCTGGGGGTGACTCCTCAGATCCTAAACTCTTCCCCCTGAGGCCCTTGGGGCAGCAGGCACATGTCTGCAGACCCACATTGTGACTGGAGGGGACCCCAAAAGCCCTCCCCGGACTGCCAGTCCCCCACAGCAGCCCATACTCCGAGAGGGAACAAAATGAGCTTCACTCGGGACTTCCCTGCATCCTGCCACTCCATCCCCATGGTCCATCTGCAGAACACCAGGCAGTGGAGCGGAGGGGGGCTGCAGCCAGGGAGGGGAGGTGCCAGGAAAGTTTGACATCGGCTTGGAAGGAAACCCCAAATAACTCGTTTTCTGATTCTCTCACAGTTCCTGGCTCACCGAGCACAGGGGCATTCAGCTAGAGATGCCTGAAGACACACAGACAGAAGCAGTCCAGGGGAAGGTATGGCCTGATTGGGACAGGTGTGGTGGTGGGCTGGAAGGCAGACATGCTGCCTGGGGCCAGTTCTGGGTGGGGTTGGGGATGCAGCAGCCTGACTCGTTTCTAGCATGAGCAGGGCATGACACACACTCACTGTCTTAGGAAATCTGTTCAATGAACCAAGCATTATCTATTGTGGTCAGAGATTAGGTCAATTAGACACTCCGGGTTAGGGGTGGGGTTAAACCTGTCAATCAAGTCGCAGCCTGATGACACCTCCATGATGTCATAAGCCTTCTGTAAATAAGCCAGAGGCCGTCCCTCTCTATGCTTCTCCGACTTCCTGCCTACTGGCACTCTGCCTGCCTCGAGAGGCCACCCCAGGTGAGCCATCCACCCTCCAGGAGCTGCCGGTACCCTGCAATATTCCAAGCAACCTGGGATCCACTGGCCTCTGCATCCACCAGTCTGTGATCTTCCCGCATCACCGGCTCGAAGCTACATGAGTCTGAAGAAGCCTGATGGACTAGCATTAGACTCGTGGAATTGAGTTGGACTGGGATTGGATGCTTTCTTTGGATCTAAGACTACCTGTTGATAGAAAAGCTCTTTCTTACAAACATTTGAGTGTCTTGGATTTGTTTCTCGAGACAATCTGGTCTAACAAAACTGAATATTTGATGAGGGTGCGTGGCTTTGGAGGGGTCAAGAAGGCACACAACGCCCTTCCTGAGCGGGGGGCCCTTTGTCTTCAGACAACAGATGGAAGCACCCCATCTTCATGCCCTGGCAAAGGCTGAAAGTGAAAGTGTGGTATGGATGAAGTTCACGGCTGTCCAATGACTCCCGACTGGTCAGCGATGGCCTGGGGACGACTGCACTCAACCCAGGAGCCAGGAGCAGCTTCGGGGACAGGCAGTCCTGGGTGGATGCACTGGGTGAAAGGGGAGAAAGGGCATTTTGGATCATGTGTCACACATGGTGTCTGTCGCAGGAATATCACGTCACAATCCCCACCCGTGGCGGGCAACGGAGGAGGAGGCTGGAAGGCCCTGCTAACTGATGGTATGAGGACGCCATGGGCAAATCTGGACGAGCCGGAGGGGAGCCCACAGCACGAGAGGCAGTGACTGCAGTCCCAGTTGGCATCGCTGGCTGGGTAACGCCTGTTGTCCTGCTGTGATGATGACTGGTGCCCCTTGCTCTCAAGTGTCTCTATGGTCGCTGAAAAGACATAGCCAACCCAAACTGAGGGGCAAAATAGCCGCCCTGAACTGTCCCAGACCAAAAGGGATGAAAGAGACGCACCAGTGGAGGTGCTGAGTGAGCTGGGGTGGAATCTTGGACCAGAGCAGGGCATTTGTGGGGCAGTCCGATTGAGGCGGCAGCGGCGGTGGTTTTGGGGTGGTGTTCAGTCAGTGGGGCTGCCACCTCCTTATAGCTTTCCTCATCTGCAGCAGGAGTCTGACCCACAGGCTCCAAAGACCCCCCTCAAGCCTCAGCAACTGAGGCTTTATCCTTGGGACCAATGGTGTTTAGGGAGCAATTTATGTGCCACCAGGAACAACGGTCACTCAGCCACTTTCCCTGTCCACGTTTTGGCAGTCGCCGGGATACCTGGTAGCACTGTGGCCGAAGTGTTGGGCTGCTACTCCCCCGCCTAACCCCCCGGTGGCTCTGTGGGAGAAAGATGAGGCTGTCTGGGCCCATCAAGAGTTATACTCCCGGATGGAGCCCTGGTGGCATAGTGGCTTATGAGATGGGCTGTGAACCACAAGGTCAGCAGTTCAAGCCCACCACAGTGCTCCAAAGGAGAAAGATGAGACTTTCCGCTCCCATGAAGATTTACAACATCAGAAACCCATTATAGGACCTGTATGAATCAGAGTCAAATCAAACTGAGGGCCCTGTAGCTTCTCATGCTGTAAAACTTGCAGAAAGACAAGAGTTACAGTCCTGGAACCCAAAGGAGCAGCTCAACTTTAGGCTCTGGGGTCGCGACAAGTCAGGGTGGCCTTGAACGCAGTGAGTCTGCACTGTCCCGGTTGGATGTCTCGCAGTCAGAGGCTCATCAGCCTGTCCCAGGAGACAGGATTCCTCTGTCGCCTGCCTGCCCTCTGCCCGGGAGGTGAAGGCAGGGAGGAGGCCTCAGTGCAGTGGCTGCAGACCAGGAGGCATCTCTCAAGCAGAGGGGCAATGGCAGACCTCACATCCCGGCAGAGGCGGGTGGTGGCAGAGACCACGGAGGGCCCGGGTGGAGATGAGATCAAGCCATCTCTCTTGGGGTGCCCCGGGGACAAACACAAAATGAGCCCGTCACCCCACTTCAGGCCTTCAGGTGTGGAGGGTCACTGGCAAGAAATGCCTTTTGGTTGGAAAAAGCTGGCGAGGAAAAAGCACAGCAGGAACTTCAGCAGGGACTCCTCTGTCGCCCAGCTCGGCTGTGGGGGCCGGGGCACAAAGGGTGTGTGCCTTGAGCCCCTGCACTGCTGTCCGGCCTCCAGGGTGCGAACTCTCTCTGGTCCTGGCATTTTCCTGCACGAGAACACACTGGAAGTAAAGCACGGCTTCTCCTCTGTCCTGTGGCCGACAGTGAGGCCTGGCACCCACCCGCAGGTGACAGCTGGCCTGCCTAATCCAGGAACAAAGGACACGTCCTCCAGAGCTGAACAGAGGTGACGGAACCTGAGCCGGGGCGGAATGTCCGTGACAGCAGATATGGAAACAGACACTGTGCCGGCCTTCGCTTTGTAGGAAACAATTCTAAGCTGATCCGGAGGGCGGGGCCACGCTGCCCCAGCAGGGATCTTAGCACCACATCTGGCCACAGTCCAACCGTGGCCCACTCGCCCACGTCCCAGAACATTAGGCTACCATACCTTTGAAGCAGTAGGCCTTAGCCTGGCTGCTTCTTCCCCTACAATCCCTAAGGCCCAAGCTCCAGAAACAAGGTGGGGACAATCCCATCTGGCCTCCAGCCCAAAACCAGAAGTGCCTACACTGTGGAAGTGAAACACAAGGGTCACAGATCACTAGATCTAAAGGTCAATGAGCTCCACCCAATCAAAAAGAATGCTGGCTGTGAAATGCTGGTTCGAACTCGGTTATCCACCAGTGGCTGTTCCATCCGGGTTCCTGGAAGGAGTGTCTGGGCGGTGCAAGAGATCAATGAGCTTAAGGTGCTGACTGGACGTCTTGGACAGACGAGAGGCCTGGGAAGGTACTTCCAAAAAAGTCCAGGAAAACCCTCTGGTTTGTCTTCCACATTCAACCCGTGTTAGATTTCCACATGCCAAAGGAAGGACCCGGATCCCTGCCTCACACCATTCCCCCACACCCATTCAACACGGGTCGAAGCACCGTGGATAGCTATGAAAACTAAAACCTTAAGGTCCATAGAAGAGAACCTAGTTTTGGAGGAAGGAGGATCGGACATGACAGCAAATACATCAGCAGCAAGAGGCAAGACAGATAACAGACCTCAGAAGAGCGAAGGAACTCTTTTTGTCCCTCCGAAGACGTTAACCTAATGAAGAAACCACCTACAGGCTGGCTGGAGAGAACATTCAGGAAACATGAATCCAACAGAGTCCACATGCTCTGCAGTTCGCAGCCCAACACGCAGCCCACTACACCATCAGGGCGCTACACTGGAATTGGCAAGCTGGTGCTACAATGCCGTGGAGAGCCAAAGACCAGACCGGTCCTGATGATGTGGAAGGAAAATAAGAAGCGGGCTCATTCTACCAGATAGTGACGCTGTGACAGGCAGAGTCGTAAAGAGCCCTGGCCGCCCTTCTGGAACTGGGAGAAAACCAAGAAACCAAACTCCCTGCCAGCGGGTCGTGCCGACTCACGGTGACCCTGCAGGTCAGGGGAGAACTGCACCCGTGGGTGGCCGAGGCTGCAACGCTTCACAGGGTAGCAGGCATCATCTTTCTGATGGGTGCAGCTCGTGGTTTCAAACTGCTGACCCTGCAGTGGGTAACAGTCCATGGTGGACCCTCCACATCACTAGGCCCTTGTTCGGGGGCGGGCGGGAGGGGGGCTGCAGGAGAGCCTAAGAAAGCTGAAGTCAAAATTCCAGGGTGTGATCCTTGGACCACAGCCATCAAGGCTCCTGCTCGGCACGGCAGCCTGACCTTCACCCCCAGAACCGGAAGCTTTGGGCCTCAGGTCCAGGACTCTGTACCTCCACCGGCTGCCCCTGGGACTGATTTCCTTTGAGGAAACCGGGGAATCACAGCTACAGATGAATCCGCAGAGCCCCTTCCCCGCCCCAGAGCCAATAGGGAAGGGAGAGCAGATCTTACTGGCTAGCTATGCAGATACGGCCGGCAGCCAACTGTGAACGGATGGATGGCTGTTCAGTCCAACGAAGAGGGGGGCCTCCAAAAGTTCGGAGGTGAATGGAATTAAAAGGCAGTGGCACTTTTCCACAAACTTTGTGAAGCCCTTCTTGGGTCTTGGAAGGAGCCCTGGTGGCATCATAGTTTCGCATGGGGCGGCCAACTGTAAGGTCAGCAGTTTGAAACCGCCAGCCTCTCCTTGGGGCTTTCTACTCTCGTCAAGATACAGTCTCAGAAACTCACGGGCAGATCTACCCTGTCCTGTAGGGTCACTTGCGTAGTGAGCTGGGCATGCCCAGCCTCGCCCAGCCCTCCCATAAGCTACTATCAGCTACTCGGTGCCGAAGGTCATGACCAACCCGGGCACCTCTGAGGACAGGCTGGGCTAGAGGTCTCAGTTGTTCAGTGGGGGCAATTCCGTCCCCACCCACCCTCAAGAATCTGACTTGGGCCAGTGTCAGGATTTCATCAAGCTCTCAGAATAATCCCTGCGCTGGAATCAGGCCGTGGTCTCCAAGTTTCAGACAAGGCACCCTCATGCCTGCTTGAGTTTTCCTGTGGGACAAGCCAGCGGGCCCGGGAGGAGGGACGGCTGGTGGGGGGCGGGGACGAGCAGGCGAGCAGTGTGGAAAGAATTGTGCCAAGGGGTCTAGTGCACAGCGGTGGCTATAGTAAGGGCTCTGTTCGCAGACCAGGGAGTAAATGGGGACACGCCAAACCACAAACAGCTCTCCACCCCTGCAGCACCCGGCCAGCAGTTCCACCAGCCCCACCCTCCCACAGAGATCTTTCTCAGGCGCAGCCAGGAGCAGCTCTGGAAAAATGCTGGCCGGCCGCGCGAGAACACGGCTTGCCGTTGTGCTGGCCTCCAGGGACAGGACGTGGACTCCAGCCTGGGCGAGCAGAAGGGCCAGGAGTGACGCAGAGACCAGGGCCCCTGCAGCTGGGCCGGCTCTCATCCCCAGCCAGGGGTGCGGGGTCCCTTCCAAACCCTCGGAGGACACCGAGCTCAGCTTGGCATCACCCTAGCCTTGGCACCAAAGTCAGCCCTAACAAGATGCGCTGCAGCTGAGGGGGTGCTGTGCGGTCCGCCCCGTCCTTTCACTCTGGAGAAACCGAGGCACCTCTCGCAAAGGGACTTGTCCAAAGTCTTCAGCTCTCCCGGGGTCAGAACCAGGGCTCTTGACTCTCACAAAAATCCCAGTCCACTCTGCCTCCTGTGCCCAGACCAGGCTCACGGCCTCCCCCAGAACTGGCGGTGACCTTGGAGCCTCTGGGAGGTGAGGGAAGAGTGACTAACACTTTGGGAAGGAATCTGGAAGATAGGAATTCGTAAAGAAAGCTTTACAGACAGACGAGGGAGGGAAGGAGGGAGAGGAGGCGGAGTGAGCGCTAACATTTCTGGAAGCGTTTTGTTCTTTTGTCCTCCCGAATGCCACGCACACACGGTGCAGCTGTGACCAGCTAGTCAAAGGGAGAAAGAGCACGCATGCCCTCAACCTGGCTCCGCGTTTCTGTCCCAGAGAGGCTGTCGAGGGGCGCACGCAACCACCTCTTGGGGGTCGGGTAGTGGAGGCGTCCAGTCACCTGTGTGCAAAAGTGGGGGATGGGATCCACCTTGATCCCTGGGTAGGAAGGTTAACTAATAACAAACCATTAGCCAGGACCACGGAATCCAGGGTGTGGATTGCTTTCTTAGTTTAGAGAGCAATAGACTCCGTTCCCTTCTCAAATTTTTCCATGTACTGTTCATGGTCAGCCTGCTACACCCTAGCCTTTCCCATGTCCTTGTGTGGACATCAAAGGGCGTGTGTGTGTGTGTGTGTGTGTGTGTGTGTGTGTGTGTGTCTCGTTTGAAAGAGGCGAGGATGGCATGAGCTACAAGGAGTTCCTGGATTACGAACCATTAGAGCATTCCTAAGCATGCTTGTTCCGTCTAAGTAGTAAGTCTTACGCCCACATTATAAGGTAGTCCTGGGGGCATAGTGGGTTCCGACGAGTTGGGCTGTTAATCCCAAGGCCGGCAGTTCGAAATCACCAGCTGCAGAAAGATGAGGCATTCTACCCTTGTAAAGAAGTACAACTTCGGACACCCACAAAGGCAGTTCTACTTCATCTGCAGGGTGGATCTTAGTCAATGGACTCCATAGATGGCAGTTAGATGTCTGAGCTGTAGGTACGTAAGTTAGAACAGATGCCTAGAGGTCGTATTTAGCCTGACTTTACAGGGTGGCCAGTGAGGTTTGGTTTTCAGTGCAAGGCTCAAAACCTTCTTAGTGATTCAGAAGCTGTCTGTGCAGCCAGTACAATTGATCGGGATTCGGGAGTGGGTTGCACACAGGAATGGGTTCCAGCATTCCAAACGGACGGCAAATTTCCATGACCTTAAAAGGCCAAGGGGAGTCGTTCCTAAGTTGGAGATTTATAACCTGGGGGCTGCCTGTCAAGCTCAGCCAATCAGAGATGATCACTATACAAGCACAGCCAAAGGTTCTATTTTCAGAACAAGAGACTTTAATCCCTGGACAATGCTTTGTGACAATGCTGCTATTTTTTGCTTTGAGAAGCAGAGATAGGTGCAGTAAAGCCTGTTCTATTCTGGGCAGTCCAGAGGGGAAAACCATCTGTGGGTACTTTGGCCAATTACATGTCACTTGTAAGACCCTCGGGGAGATGGATTGACACAGTGGCTGTAACAATGAGCTCAAACACAACAGCTAACACGGGGATGGTGCAGGGCCAGGCAGCAGGCTTTTGTTCTGTTGAACATGCTAAAAAAATAAGGGGGGGGGGTGAGGGGAGAACAGACTACCGACACTTATTTTTCCTTTAGTTCCTCCGAAGTACATTGCTTTTACTTCTAGCTCAGTTGCTTTGAGATACAATGCGTTCTGAATTCATACAATAACCAATGGGGACAGGAGTGAGGACGGGGCAGTGGCTCCTTGTGCTGTGCCTGGGGTCGCTGTGCGGCGGAGCTGACTCCATCTCCCCTGGCAACAACAACATAAAGATATGGTTCTTGGAACAGTCAACCCCTGAAGACCAAAATAGTCAGCACTGGCCCAAAGTTCATGGACCAAGGACCAGTGGAGACAGAGCCCAGCGGGGCATGGAAAGAGTGCTGTTACACTGAGGGGACAGGACTAACGTCACAACACAAAACGTGGGTAAATTATTGAACGGGAAACTAATGTTCTCAGTGAACTTTCATGCAAGCCACGGTCAAATGTTTTTAAAAATAGTAATGGGGTTATTTTGTGGGGGGTTAAATGTATATCACAACATACATTTAAAGGATGAGTGGAAGGTTGGGGAACTACTCACTGCCATGGAGTAGATGCCAACTCATGGCAACCCTACTGGCCAGAGTAGAGCTGTCCCTGCAGGTTTCAGAGACTTGACCTCTATAGGAGTAGAAAGCCTCCTCTCTCTCCTGAGGAATGGCTGATGGTTTTGAAATGCTGCTAGCAGCCCAACACATAACCACTAGGCCGCCAGGGCTCCTTTGGGTACAAAATCATATGCAAATGAATGTTTAGGGGTTATGAAAAAAATGTATTAACAGCTATTGTATGAATTCAAGGAGCCCTGGTGATGTAGTAGGTTGTGCGATGGGCTGGCTGCTAACCACACGGTGAACCTGATCCTTGGAAGAGCTGCAAGGGGCCACAGTTTCAGGGGTTCCACCACTCCCCATCAAAGCAGTAAGCCTGATCACAAGGTTGGTGGTTCAAATCTACCATCCACTCAGAGGGAAAAAGATGAGGCTCTCTGCTCCCATAAAGACTTATAGCCTTGAAAAAAAAAAAAAAAGATTTATAGCCTTGGAAATTCTATGGCAGTACTGTAATTCAGTGGGTTCCGTTTGGGGTTGGCTTATGCTAAGAACGTTTCTCAAGTGCTGCATTAACAATAAAACCCACTGCCATTCTCTTTAAAACCCAACTCACTGCCATGGAGTTGCTTCTGACTCAGAGCGACTCTACAGGGCAGGGTAGACCTGCCCTGTGGGTTTCCAAGACTGTCACTCTTTATTGGAGTAGAAAGTCTCCACCTTCTCCCACGGAGTGGCTGGAGCCCAACTGGTCACCGTTATGCCACCATTGCTATTAGGTGGGCACTTTATGAGAACTTTGAGTGTCAGACTGGGAGGTGCCACCACTGACCAGGACGCCAGCAGAGCCGGACGTCACTGGAAGACGTTACAAGTGTGCCTTCTACTGCAGGCAATTCCAACCACATCTCAGAAGCACGCTCATTTTTCTTCTCCGCTCCCCGCTGAAAGCTCTAGCAGTGTTTCCCCAAGTGGGCAATACCGCCCCCTGCTGGGGGCCTCTGGAACGACCCAGGAGTGGGCTGCAAAAGTGGATACCTATACTTTATCCTGATGAGAGGCTAGCGTCCAAATGGTTTTCCTTGCCGAGGGGGTGCCGAGTCACTCGTTTTCTGAAAAGGCCAAGTCAGTTCGGGAGTCTGTGTCCCAGTGGAAGCTGTATTCCTTTGGCAGTTTCTCTTCCTTCCGAGTTAAGAGGAAAGCCCTGCCCTGGGGTTTTCACAAGAACCGACTAGATGGGTCTCTATTCTGGGCTCCTCTTTCTCCTTAATCCTGGGCAGCCTCACCCCTACCCCAGGGTGCACCCGCCC